AATCCTATACTTTATAGTCCTATACCGTCCTTGAATTATTTCTAAATTACCAAAATTAGAAAGTTCTAAATTCCCAAGATTATAATTTCCTAAATTCCCAAAATTAGAAATTCCCATAAAATTCTTAAAAATTATAAAAACTTTTATTAAATTATCTAAAAATTTTTTGTTAAATTTTATAAATATATAATTTTATAATAAAATATTTGTATTTTATGATACAAATGTGGAATAAGCTCAATTGCATTTTATCATTAGTATCCATTATATAAATTTTATAAATTTTATGTTATTTATACAAGTGTCATTTTTCCAAATAATTAATAATAATTAATTAAATCATTAATATAATATATAATAATAATATATAATATAATGAGTTAGAATATCTACAAATGATCGATTATCTTTAGTTGAAAAAAGTTGTCGGACGAGTCGATCATTGTTTGACAAAATTCGTAACAGTCCACCGATTTTGTAAAACAAACTCACGCATGTTGATCGTAGAGTGATCTTCGATTCGATACGGCAAAATTCATTTAGTATTCAAACTCATCGAAAGTGGGTACATCTGTGCAGTAGACGCGACAGGAATAAAGAAGAATGATGGATGCCCATTATGGTAATCGCATACAATATGTATGTTGTCCATATTAAACTTGTTATGAAATTATATTGATTATATTGAATTATTCTATTATTTTTTATTTTTAAAGAAGAATAGATTTTTAATGAAGTTCTTCATAATTTTTTGATCATTAAGATATCATTTATAATTTACAACAAATTATGACTACGATGTTATTATGTTATCAACATACAACATTAAATTTAAATTATATTTTTTTTAATACTTATTATACTTTTATATATTATACTTTTTTTTAGAAGAAATGATTATATTATGTGGCCGCTTATATAATTATGGTAGATAGGTCTTACAGTAATTCAGAATTTCAATAATATAGATTCAAAATCTATATTATTCGATATTATATATCAGTAAACAAAAATAAAAAATATGAAAACAACTTTCAAAATAACTCAATAAATTGCTTCATACAAAAGCTATTATAAGACATTGCGAAACTTCGAAGACATGCAACTTGTTTAGACTTCAAATTATCCGATCTAATCGTATGTTCGATCGTTTTATTGTAAGAGAATAAATACTATTGTGTGCATTTTTTTTTTTAAATATTATTATATCAAGAGATTTATTTCAAAATGGTAAATAAGTAAACAATTTTTTAATTATGCATAAATTAAATGTTGTAAATTGAAATTTTATCGTATTTGATTTTTTCTTTAGACATTTGTTATTTCAACTTACATATTTTTAATATTCGATAAAAAAACGTTACAAACAAATATTTTATTCTCTTCTCATTCGTAATTAGAAAGTTAAATTATCAAGATTATGTCACTTATGTTACGAAAAAAATTACTTTCACCGATCAATATTTCGATATTGTCTTTGCTTAAACATTTTTTCCTACTTAATGTTTATTAAATAATTAGTCGAATAGTGTTAAAATAGAATAATTACGAGTTGATTTACTACTATTCATAGCTAAATAATCAAGGAAAAGTAAGTCGTGGATTTCTATTTACACTTTTATTGCATTACATGTTTAAAAATTATGTGCAATTCTTTGAAATATGTAAAACGAGGTATTAAGAATATAATAATAATTATAATAATATCCAAGATATTAACTTGACTCAAAGAAATATTGCGTATTTAAATACTATTGTTAATATTGTTTTAATTAAATATATTTAAATATTAATCAATTACATTAATATCATTAGTCATCTTTATATCATAAATATATAATAACTTGATATATAATAATTTAAAATATATTTGAGTTTAATTATTTAATTTTAATTTCTTCTTAAAATTTTTATAGTCAATGATCTATTAATTTTTATGTAACAATCAACCATGATTTTTATATAAAGCAAACTTAAGAACTTTCTTAAATATAAATTTAAGAAATAAATATACATACATATATGTATAATGATTAAGATATATAATATATAATAAGATAAGTCTTATAATATAATGTACACTATAATATGCTTAAAAACAAAAATTATTATATTAAATAATTTAATATAATTAATATAATAAATTATTATATTAATTAATTTCCAATTGAAAAAAATTATTGGAATTGTGAAATATTACAAAACTTTATATATAAGTATATATTCTATATTATACTATATACTATACTATACTATATATATACTATACTATACTATATACTATATTCTATATACTATATACTATATACATCCTTCATAAAGTTATTATTTAAAGTTAAATGAAGTAATGATTTATAATAAATTTTTTTCATTCTTTTATCCAATACGAGCCGAAAATATATATTAATTATTATTTGATCAAAATTTTTACTTTGAAATTCGTAGAATCTTAATGCGATCAAGCTTAAAAAATTTTGATTTTTATATAAAAAAAGATAATAATAATAATAATTAATAATTACATATTCTTACATATTTTACTTATATTTTTTATTTGAAATCGATATATAAATAACTTTTATCTCTAAGAGCAAAAAAATTCTGCTAATTACATTACTATATTCATATTTTAAAATTTTTACAATAAAGTTTTATATTTTATATTTTATTTTAAATTTTTAATATTACAAAAAAGAAAATCAACTTATATTATATATCTATATTAAATTAAAGTTTTTTATTTTGTAAAAAAAAAATCAAATGCAAATACTTTTATTGCAAAGCAAAATAATCATTCTGGAACAAAAATGTATCTCTTAGCAATGAAAACAAAAAATTGGTACAAAACAACACAAATTTGGTCACTTATAGCAAATATCATCATCACTGCACTTTTTGAAAAAAAAACACTGACCTGTGAAATCCACTTCTTTTTCCAAATATTGATGTTTTTGTTCGTTTTTTTCCCTCATTTTCGTATAAAGGAATAACAGAATCGATTCTTTCACTTAAAATATATTTATCATAGAATACACTATAAAATAATCAGCATTTTGCTGAAAATATCACGTTGCCATAGATCACTATATAGTATTACTAAGTCTTGTGTAGGGGATGATTAAACAGATGATTAAATATCACGCAAAAATACAATTTGGCATAAATAATATATACAAAATTATCACGTCTTCGTTATTTGATCGTTCTAGTTGCGTGCATTGCAAAGAAATGAAAGAATAAGTTTCTAGCGCACATCTTAGGAGAAAGGTAGTCTCCTACTTTTCATTCGCTCCTTCCTTCTCTTGGATGCAATCCAAATATATATATATATATATAAATATTGTTATAGATGTGTGTGTACATATGTATGTGTATATGTAAAATCTGAAGGACGAAAATCGAACATCAAATTCTTTATTATAAAAGTTTTTTATTATGTATTAAAAATATATCATTCAAAATTGAATACCATATTTTTCATTATGATTAGATTTTTATGATTTCGGATAAATTTTTGTTTATTTATTTAAAATTTATATTATGATTTTATATAAAATTTGTAATCTACAGTGTATATGTATACGTAATTTTATTTGATTTTTAATACTCGTATGTTTTCTAGTGATTTAATTACATTTTAAATCACTTTCGTGTTATGAATTATCTAATAATTTATAAATGTAAATTGTATTAAATATATTTATAAATATTAAATTAATAATAGATTAAATATTGTATTGTATTGATTGTTTTTGTAAAAACATTCAACATAATGACAGTTTAAATTCATTTAATTTAGAAAATTATAATTTTTTTCAAACAAAATTTATAATAAGGAAATTAATAATAAACAAATTTTCATGGTTACCGGTAAAATAATGGATGAAGTTATCGATAGAGTGAATTCCCTAGTTGGTGAAAATAAATCTTAAATGAAAAAAAAGAAAAAATGTTTTACTCTTACTTTTCTATCAACTTTATATGCACGTAGAACTTGTATAGTGTTCGCTAGTGAAAGTAACTACTATTGTATTTTCGACATCGTTTTGACATTCTACGCGTATAATATTATTGTAAACTACAGACAACATATGGTCATAAACGATATATAAGATAGACATGACATGCAATACTTATTTTTGTTTAAGATTTTAGGAATTATTTAATTCCTATATCCCTTATTTTTGAATTATATACGATATTATCGATAAGTTCATTATAATCACAAATGAAGTATATAATGAAGGCTAAATTTATACAAACTATTAATATATTATAAATGTTATTATTTATTCAATAACAATAATAATAAAATATTTACGATTTCATGAAGAGAAGATAATAAAGTTAATTATATATCGGAATCTTTTCTTGAGCGCATAAATTTTGCAGAGCAAATAGAGATAAGAAGAATAAATAGTGGAAGAAAGATATAGATGGAATAAAAATATAGAAATCAGCACCATCTCTAGAGTTTTATACGAATTAATATAGACAATCAGAAGAATAGAAATACAATAAAAATTAGCCATTAGCGCTATCTCTTGAATGTCTCAAAAACATTTTAAAGATAAAATAGGATGAGAAATAAAGATCAGCACCAAAACAATATATTATCGATAGAATGAACTAAATCGTCTAACTTTTTAAATTTTAAACTCAAACTTGAATTCATAAAAATAATTTAAATCTTTTATTTTATTAATATGACATATCCTTTATCTTATAAAAAATATAATTAAAAAATATTTTTCATTTATGTAGAATGAATGAAATATCTAATAACATAGATTTCTATCTTTGTATTTTTATTATATTTAATAACTATATTAAATATTACTTTAAGAAGGCAATATCTATGATCAAATTGAATAAAAGATTTGATATTTTTGATTAATAATATTAATATTGTAGATTATTTTGTTGTAATGTTTAGTAATAAATTATAAAGCTGACCATCATATAAATCTTTTATTCTAATAAAAAAGATGATTGAAAAAGTAAAACATAAAAAATAGGATACTAACACATTTTGAATAGCTCCAAAATATCAAAAATTAAAATTGAGGATCTTATATGACACGTTTTGCTGATTGTAACAATAAGTAATTGTATTTGTAGGCGAAGAAACTAAGCGTAAACAATATGTATAGATATAAATACAATATTAAACAGTAAAAAGTTGATAAGAACATGAAGTAAGTTGCATTTACATTTATGTCAATCATAACACATTGAATGTATCTTCTTTTGTTAATTTAACTAAATTTTTTGAAGCTTATTATATAGTGTTATAGATTTAATGTTTCTTATAAATGATGGGAAATATAATTTTGACAGATAAATAAACAACAGCAGACGAGCTTTGGAAAAACCATGTATTATAGAATAATAATAGATTACATTATTCATGGTAATAATGATATAATAAACCAGAATATACCTGACAATAATAATAAGAATCTAAAATAACACGAATACTGAATACATATTATTAACAATAATGAGAGGAGGGACTTTGGGGATGTTTGGCAAAGGAAGGGGCCAAGCCGCTCAGAATTGTATTCGAAATAAAAGAAAAAAGAAGAGAAGACGAGAAGGAAGTAAATAAAGTTTCTTAGATAAAATTAATAAGATTTTCTGATTAAACGTAACATTTTTGACACGTTTAGTCATTTGAGCATTTTAAAATAAAAATTGACTAAATAACTCGACGCAAAACGATTTCAGTTACGTTTGACATCCGCTCCTCTTATCGTATGCAAAAAAAAATTATGTATTTGTGAATTAATAGAACAAGACAAAAAAAAAAATTAAAACAAAAAAAGAAAACGAAATACAATGACGGGAATGACAATTGGCTGCATTTAAGACTTACTGCTAAAGTAATTACGACAAATTGCTAATGAGCAATTTATACGATCGTTTAAAAAAAACAACGCATTTATGGCGCTGATTCATATAAAATGTAAATTTTTTTTTCTTTTTCGAAAAATAATAAAATAGATGATTTGCTCGCATTCTCTCCGATTAAACATGAAACCCGTAATGTTTTGTCTTGTCTAACGTGCTGTCGTATAAAATAAGGAAAAAATGTTTCTATATGTATAAGTATATGTATATATGTTGAATGTGCGTGTATATATTTGTAATATGTATGCATAGTGCACGCACCACGATAACGTTTTAATATTTGTTTGTAGCACGTGACAGTTTCTACGTGTCAAATTATTGAATTATTATATTTTTTCAAGCCGAAGATGATAGAAGAACAAAGAAAACAAAAAAAAAAAAATTAACAAACAGATCGAGCACTTTTTTTCCACTCGAGAACCAGCTCGTTTTAGGAATTCTACTTTGTTTCCAGACTTCTGGAAATCATTAATTGCACCCTGGTCTTGCGGATTGGTCCTTTCCCATCAGTGCCACGATTACCGATAATCAAACTTATTATTTTATCACGAGCTGAGATCTTATTGTTAGACTTACTAACAAACTACCTCAAATATACTAAAAAAATAATGTCTACATATTAAAAAAATTTTTTTTGATGTTAAAAAAGAAAAAAGAAATCGGGAGAATGACCAAAACAAATATTGAGGTTAATTAGCTCAATAGACAGATCACGCTGACATTGTTTGTAATTTTTACGGTTTCTTCTTTTTTTTTTTGTTTTGGTTTCATTTCGAAAAGTTTTGATCATTGTATTAATTGTAAATTATAGAATATATCCTTTTAAAATATCAAAATATGCAATTCGCGTTATGAGAACGCATGACAGTGGTTTAATAATGCTAAATAAATTGATAAATGACGATGTCGTTTCGCGTGGCAGCAGTACTTTGTAATATTTAGAATGCAAAACGGCACGTCAAATTTACAGAGGCCTCAGTTAATTCGATGTTCAACTAATGCACAGATACGATTCGTGCACATTGTGAACGAAGCCAAGCTTATTAATTGACTCTCCAATATTATTGATACATAATATCGACAAAATGAACCGTTATATTTTTATCTTTCTTATCTTCTTTTTAACAAATCATTGAGAGCCTCTGAGGCAAATTAAAAATTGCGGTAGAACAGCGCGTACAAATTAATGAGAAACAGTTGGTCAATCAATAAATTATTTATGTAATATTTCTCTAAATATTTTGATATGATTCACGAAGATTTGGCAGCCCTGTGTATTTTTCAACTAATAAACTATGCATTAGAATGTAATGGTACTATCAAAGAATATACCGAGTGGACAAAATTTTTTTTCCTTTTTATCTTTTTGGATTTCAAAATATGTTTGAAATCCTTTTCTATGCGCAAGATCTTATGTACGAGTATGAAAAATAAAATAAGAGAAAAAGTTGTACAGAATATTAATGCGTAGATAAGAATTCGAATTCAATCCTTAATGACTACTCTAGAAAATCTAATATTTATTACGATTCATAATATGGTATTAAATATTCGATTTGTACCACTCGATATAATTCCAAAAGTAATTCCACTAACTGCATGGTTGGAAGGTAAGTACGCGATGACCAGCTCTTATTCCATTGTGAAACTGTTTTCTCGATTTAATCTACGGGAACGACTTAATGTTTTACGTTAAATTATATGTTACTGAAATACCAGATGTATTAACCAGTTTTCTTCCTTCATAATCGATTTTTTATCATTCCGGACGTGTATTGAGTATCTACTCAAATCCAAAGTCGAGTTTCCTTGCATTCAGTATATAGATGATGTATTATAATTTCACTATAATAGCGTATCACTATTTCATTTAATTATTCAATTTTTTCTTTTGAAGACTATTAATAAACATTACTGGAAGCTAAATTGCATGACGGATCTTGATGAATAAATATATATTAATGTATAATTCATATTATTGTTTGAACTTATATTGTGAATATTTGTTCAACTCGTTTAACATTTAATGAGATTCTTCTTATTTCTTAGGAGCAATCTTATTAAGATCTCCTTTTAAAAGTTTTTTTATATCGTTTATCTGCATACATTCACAGAAAATAGATATTTTTTTAATTTAAAATATTCAGTTTTGCAGTTTTTTCATTTAAACAACTTTTCATTATGATCCGTCTTGTCAAAGTTATGTCAAGGAAGACGAATGGATTCGTCAAAAAATAAATGGCCGTCAGCAAAAGCACGTCCTGATATTTTGGTACGATTATATTCATTTCTATTGTTTTATGTCCCCCTCTTTAAGATTCGTTTTTATTCTGACTTTTTTTTTTATTGATTAATGTTCTATCTATTTACATTGTATTCACTGCTCTTTATTTGCAAGCTAGTACTTGGTACTAGCTACAAACTAGGCTATCACGAGAGCACGGGACTAACTTCGGTCGCATCTTTGCAGTCTTGAATGGATAATTGAGCTAATTCGCTCGCTATTTCTTCCTGAGTAGTAGATTCTGTTTTTTTTAATATTGTATATCCTTGCTGTATCTCTTCATTTTCACCATTAATCTTAGAATTATTTTTAGCTTGACCATTAGTTTTTCTTTTACTTGTCGTTTCTTCAGCAGACATACCTGGATGAATTTTAAAAACGCTCTTGATAATATTATTAACTGTTTGAGAACGTTTCGGACTATCGTTTTTCTGATCAGAAACAAATCTAATACGAATTGTTCTGTTATTTTCCGTATTTTCCTTGTGTTTGTTTCCCTTCATTACAATCGCTTTTGACTTTGAATGCTTTTGATCAGATAAATTTTGACCATTTGGAATATCCGTATTTTTTATTTCTTGTTGTTTCTCTTCGAAAGTAGTGTTGTCGTCAATAAAACTCATTGTATCTCGTTCTGTATTCGCTAACGTTGAATCTAAAGTATGAGTATCATTTGGTTTTCTAGGTAATTCGGGCGTTTCGCTATTGGAAGTATCAGTATTTTTTTTGACTTCTTCATCTAAATCAGTCACTTGCACTATATTCTTTGTTTCTTCAATAGAATTTTTTTCGATACCTATTTTATTATTGGTAGTGAGTATATGATTATTTATATCTTGTCGATCATTCGATGGCAATTCCCGTTGTAAAACTTTAACAGGACTTTTCGGTTTCGTGCCATTATCGGACATATCTTTGTTCTGGCAATTTGTACAAGAAGATTGCTTTGAATGAGTAGGAGAATTCATTTGTCTTTTACTAGCGTTGTTCTTCTGAGCAACACCCATGTGTGGTCTACCTACTCTAATTGTAAGAACGTTAATCGACGAATTTGTTTGAACATTATATGGTGTTGCTGGTTCATATTGTGGAACAGGTTGTACATGATTTAAATGTATTTGTTGCTGTTGTGGTTGCATTCTGCGCATATCAATATGCATTGCATTATCAATTCGCTGTTGATAAGTTATATATGGTTGAAAAGGTGGTGCTAAATTCGTATTCATAGCTGGATTAACGTTAGAGTTTGTAGTTGGCCCATAATTAAGACTGGCATTAGGATGAACATTTGAATTTACATATTGAGGTACCATTTGCCTAGGCAATTGTTGAAACTGATACTGTTGGGATGGATATGCAGGGCAGTTTTGTTGTGGAATATTCTGTACTATATTATCTCTACGATCTCTAGAAGCGATTGGTGTAATCCGAGGAACGTTTCCATGATACTGTTGTGGTACTAATTGCCCGGATTGATATAATTGATCGTTTTGTGAGATAACTGGATTCTGAGGTTGATGACCATAACTTTCATAATGCATACCTTCATTACTCATTACCCTACCATATGCTATACTTGAATGATATTGTGGAGGTTGTGATGTGTAATCTTGTTGTTGATGATCTTGATACTGAGGATATTGAGGAACAGGTGGCTGCGCGTCGATCCAAGTTCTTGCTGCGGAGGAGGTTGCTCCATATCTCGCCTTGCTTGTACTGCATTCCAAACTTCTTTTAATTCACCAGTAATATCCCGATCTTTCAATATTGTATATTGTCTCATAAAAATTACGCCTGCATTCATCCTTTCCACAAAATCTAGTAAAAGTTCTATTAAACTGGTACGCTTCTATAGCAAAAATAAAGTTATGTGAGAAATTATTCATAAATGTAATAAAATATAATAATTATGAATAAGTACCTTTGGATCTTGAGCGTTTTTACCACTAATTCGAAGAACTTCTGGATTAGCCATTACTGCAAATATTACAGCTTCCGTTTTTGTACGTGGTGGTCGAACTCTCATTCCACCATAAAATGGTACAGGCTGTGAAGGTTTCAATGGCATTGCAATTTTTTCCCATGATAAAACATTTACATAACATGGGACAGCAGTGCCCTAAAATAATAAAACAAATTAAAGTTTCAACAAATAATTTTTATAATATATAATTATATAAAATTAGTAAATTTAATAATTCATATGAAATTCTAAAAATATTTGAAACATTTAAAGCTTTTTCTTAATTAAATATACCTGTATGAAGTCTTGTATACACATATGGGGCTGAGGAGGATTTTTAAACAAACGAGCGCCATTGCGCTTCATTCTAGTTGCACCACCTTCTGTCATTTTGTAACTGAAAACAAATTTATTTTAAGTGAAAAAAGAAAGTGATAATATATTATATATATATATATTTTTTTTAAAAATTATATATACATATATATAAAAAAAAATTCTTGCTTTAATAAATACAATGTATGTAAATATCATTTAATATTTAAAAATATTGTTTATTTATTTTTATTAAAAAATTTTACGATTATTTAATAATAATGTATATATAAACAATGAGATTTTACCTTTAAAATA